AACCTCCTGTCTTGGGTGAACACAAGGGACAGTTTTTATGTATCTGTCCCACCCCATACTGAGTTAACAAGCTTGAGACGGGTCCGTCCACTATTGTGCTCCGGAACAAGAGGACAGACGGCGCTGGTGGACACCGGGACAGATGTGCAGGCACACAAAAAAGACACAAACGTGCGCGACAGGAGTGCTAGCATAGCCGCTTCTCGTTTGGACCCGAGTCTATAATGCTAAAGTGGTGGAAAGAACGACTTTCCTGCGTTTCAGGCCCATATTCAGGACAGCTCGGCGCCGAGCGACGAGGAGAAATGCGTTCAGTTAGTGGAGACGGTCCCAAATGCTGGATTAAACGCATGGGCTGATGGTCCCGGAGCCACGCCTGCTTTCACAACAAGTGCATAAGGAAAAAAGACTAATAATGTAAGAGCAAATGTTGCTGTCACAAATCACGAGAGACAAGGACTTAGTTTTTTTTTGGTTTATGTCTTTCTTTTACTCGGGCATTTCATTGTTCCCTTTCTGAGGAAGTGACTTGAAAAACACTACAGAGCCAACATTAGTTTAATGGAAAAAAATTGAAAATTGCAAAAAAAAAAAGTATTCCGTAAATGATGTACAGTTTTTTATAATCATTAACCAATGTATTCTCGCTGCCTTCTAGATAATTTATTTTGCCACACATTACTGCACAGTTGTAAATAACTTATGTACTGTAACATCACTCAGTTAAAGTGTAAAACAAAAAATAAATGAATTAAAGTTATCATTGTATGTACAGTTCACTTTCGGGCAGCACCCCCCCCCCCCCCAATCACCTCCCTACCCATAATCCCACGGGCCAAAAGTTGAACACACCGTCAGTATTCCCATGCAATAGTCCTCGTCATCACATCGCCTCCACTCCTCCTGATTGCTCTGTCAGGATCATAGTTTCAGATGTAGCAGAGTGATTATGGATTTATTTAAAGAATAGTAGAGGTATATTATTCATCGTTTTATTACACAAGTATATATCTTTAAAAAAAAAAAAAAAAGTATAAACCAAGAAAATGCCTTTATACAGTTAACGTCTCTTTTTTTTTTTTTTTCTAAAGCTGCACAAGTCATATATAGCATAGTGATTTTGGAGATGAATACACACACCACCCCATGAACTGTACAGTACGCATTTGAATTTATTATTACACATTGTAATCCTGGGAGTTTGTGTGTCTTGTTTATTACCAAGACTCCCGTTTTTAATCTCTCCCTATAAACCCGTTCTTCAAGCGTTTGGGAAATCAGTGAAACTTCACCTCCATTTTTTTTTTTAAACGTTCCTGTTTTCAATATTCTGTTTAGATTCTAAATCAAATTCGCAGTTCTTTTCTTAGTCCCGAAGCGATTGAGTTTTTAACTCGTGACTCTTAAAGGTCACTTTTATTGCCTGACTGCGTATGGCACTGTCCGGGATGTGGACTTTTACAGATCATGACAGAACACACACACACACACACTTCTGTTCTTGGACTCACTGTTTGTATACATGGGCTCGCTGACTGTTTTTTTTTTTATATTTAACATCCTTGTTAATCACGGTATTTTTTTATTTTTAAAAATGCACCAATGTCAATTATTCTCTGATTTTATTTAGTCCGTTACCATCTTTACAGTACATGTTCAAATTCATCAATCAACCTAGAGGGGACTAGTGCAAAAGAGGTTTTTTATTTTTTATTTTTTTTTATTAGATTATTTTTTTTTCAAGTTTCAATTATAAAAAAAAAAAAAATTCAAGTTTCAATTATTAGATTTTTTTCCCAAGTTTCAATTATTAGATTTTTTTTTTTTCACGTTTCAATTATTACATTTTTTTTTTTTTTTTTAAGTTTCAATTATTGCTTTTTTTTTTTTTTCCAAGTTTCAATTATTACTTTTTTTTCAAGTTTCAATTAGATTTTTTTTTTCAAGTTTCAATTATTACTTTTTTTTTACTTTTTTTTAAGTTTCAATTATTAGTTTTTTTTGTTTTTTTTTTTAATTTTCCAAGTTTCAATTAGATTTTTTTTTTTCAAGTTTCAATTATTACTTTTATTTTTTACTTTTTTTCAAGTTTCAATTATTCTTTTTTTTTTCAAGTTTCAATTATTAGATTTTGTTTTTTTTTTCAAGTTTCAATTATTAGTTTTTTTTTTTTTTTTTTTTTAAGTTTTAATTAGAATTTTTTTTGTTTGTTGGGGGGGGGGGGGGGGGGCTTGAACTGTGTTTTGATATCTCATCCTTTCTCATCCCCTGCCTGTACTTCAGTGTGAGGTTGTGTGACGTTTGCTTAACCCATCCAGGCTAGTGTTTTAATTTCGTTTTCTTTCTATCTTCCTTTTTGTTCTCATGTGTGGTTGCGAGTCTGTGAAGATCCCACATGACGCAGTTGTGTATGTGTGCATTGAGTCTGGGTGCAACAGGTGTCACTGTTTCCGCAGGTAATGCTTTCGGATGCTTTGTGAGTGTACTGTGTGCATTGCATAACCAACTCTCGACAAACTCGACAGCTTCCCGTTCAGATTTCAGTGCTTGCTTTTTGTGTTGCAATGAAACCCATTGATTTCAGATCAAGTGCTTTTGGTGTTATTCGGTGCATTTTTTCGCCCCCACATGAAATGACTTGTTACTGTATCATCACTAAGCCCCTGTTTACAAGATGTGTGTCCTCTGACCTGATTCCCACAACTGATTCAGTTTTAAAAGGCTTGAAATTGTGATGCGATAGAAAATATAACCTGATTTCCACTAATTCAGTCTGAAACTCGCTCCATCGTACACATGCTTGGCCTACGCTGACCTCAGTCTGCAACACATTACCTCTAATAATTACACGGATTACTGATTACTCCATATATAGATAGGATAGATTAGGTGTGGAGCCACAATTTCAAGCCTTGTTTTAAAACATGTTGTCCACACATCCAACTCGACTCCTCTAACACATGTTGAACTCTATATAAATAGTGAGAAATAACCTATTTATTATCTTTCTGACACCTGTGGTATGTTTGAGTTGAAGGTCTCCGCTGTGTAAATTTTCCTCTTGTAATGCGTGAACGAGACGTTGTACATAGCTGTAAATAATATTCCAGGACGTTTTGCACCCTCCTCTTTGTACTAGTCCAAAACTTGCGTAGAATGTGAGATTCTAACAGCAACGAGACGTGTCGCACTCGCTGCCGGTGATGTAACAATGTATCTTTTCTTTTTTTTGTACAATGTAGTTGAATTGTGTACATATTGTTGGAGCAGCTATGGGGAGGGGAGGGGTTTGTGGATGCTATTTCAGTGCTGTCAGAGATCCAGTACTCTCACCTCTTTAGCTGTGTTGATATCCTGCGATTCAAAAAGCGAGAAACTAAAAATTACAACAACAAAAAAACTTAACGGAGAGGAAAAATTCAAAATTGTTATTTTCTACACTTGCATGTACAGAGAGCGCGAGAACTGCTGTTGGTCCTCAGAGATTATGTTCGTAAATAAATTTTTGAAATGACTTGGCTTCTGTGATTTGTTTTTTTTTTGTGAGCTGCAATACCACACATCTGCCACAAGAGGGAACCCATGATATATAAAGTGTTTTTTTAGAAGTTCAATGTCAATCATTTGAGGTTATTGTAACATTAACAAATGTCATATTTTCCTCAACACAGCATAGCTTTAACCCACAAACTAAAATATTTGATTAGCACATTTTGGTCCAACTCCACAAAGAGACTAAAGTGTCAATTTCTAATGAGTATTTCAGATGTTTTGCACATTCCTTAATTTTGACTTTTCAAAAATATATACATATTTCTGTCTATTGTTGTCAAGTGCATATTAGCCTATAAAGAAATGGTTCATTTAACACTAACCAGGTTATCATGCACACAATTAGACTAATTGTTCACTAGTTCACTGACACTAAGATTTTTTATCATGAAATATGAAATGACAAAATAATAATCAATCCTTTGTGATACCTTAACAGAAATGAATGAATAGTTAATGAATTAATAAATACAACTAGTTGAGTAAATAATGACTTGTTTTAGAAATACATACGTGTGCTGTAGACCTATACTGAGTCATTGTGGGGTTTTCATGCTTGTGCAACAGCTGTAAAAAATATGATACGTCTAATTTTAGTTTGAAGGAGTCATAAACATAAAGCGAGACACACAGAGTAAAATTGTGCTGACTACACATGACTTTACTGGAACTTTGAATAGATACCAAAGTCCTTTACATTATTTGTAACTTCATGAACGGCGTTACTTTTGAAACATCTGATTCTGATTCGTTTGAGTCGATACTTGATTCGGTCAAAACCTTTATATCACTCAATCCAAACGGATTATGACGATAAATATATAGGCTAGATATTCGCTATAAAATATAAAATATTAGTAGAGTCGCATCACAATTATAACGAAAACGGCACAAAGAAACAATATCATCGGAATCACTTTCATAACGATTTTTTACCCGATACAAACAAACGACAGCCAATCAGAACCCACCAGACATTAAAGAGCTGATTTAAAGCGACAGGCGCTTTAAAACTAAATAAACTATCGTTTGTAGTTATATCGTATAGTATTCGTGATCTGTGGTGTTTGAAAGCCAACTCTTGAAAACAATCTCTGTTACTTTAATTTCCTATCATCACTGTAAAGCTGCTTTGAAACAATCTATATTGTTAAAAGCGCTGTATATAAATGAAGGTGATTTGACAACTGAGAATAATTAGCTAACATTATTAATAATGATTAGTAGGCTACTACTTTATATTTTGATAACAATAACCAGGTTGTAAACAACATGACATTAACAGCAACTTTCGAAAACTTGAACAACTTTCGAGATTAAAACGAAACGATAAGGAGGAAGTCTTTTGAGCGAAAAAAAAAAGAATCGGTCAATCGGATCTATGAACCGAATCTTTCCAATGAACCGATTGGCTCAAATGAATCCATTCCATGTGCTACGTCACTACCAGTGAATCCCAGTGTGTGTGTGTTTGTGGACAGCCGTTCATTTCCCATCACTACAGCTTGAGATGTCTGTGAGAAACAGCTGTTTCCCTCGATAAAAACTCTAGTTATGGAGTTTGAAACTAAAATCTACCCTCAGATCGGTGGATTTGGGCGATACAACCGGATCGTAACCCTTTTCAGTTGGTTCCCGAACTTTGCGGTCTCGTTGAATCTCTTCAGCGATGTTTTCTTCACGCTGATCCCCGAGTCGTACCACTGCAAACCCGATCTGGCGTTATTCCCAGCGTCTTCCGTGCTCGGGAACCTCTCCAGGCAAGCGGTCCTCAATCTCACCGTCCCGTGGCTGAAGGGCTCCGGGTTCAGTCACTGCGAACTGTACAAGTACCCGCTGAATACAAGCAACCTCACGGAGAACGCGCCGCGGGACACGGTGCCCTGCACGATAGGATGGGAGTTCGCCAAACCCGCGGGACTACAAAACAACTTAGTGACCGAGGTTAGTATGCGAACCCAACCGTCAGAATGCTAACCGAACCGTTAATGTGCGAACCCAACCGTCAGAATGCGAACCGAACCGTCAGAATTCGAACCGAACCGTTAATGTGCGAACCGAACCGTTAATATGAACTGAATTCGAACCAAACAATGCGAGTTCACTCAAGTTATTACAGTTTTAACAGTCGATCTGAATTAGGCCACTTTATTTAAAAACATTAATGTTTTAATTATTATTATTATTTATAGTCTTTGAATTGCCATAGTGTGATTATTTTACTTCCTTTCTATGTAAAGGATTTTGAATAACTGTTTTATCCTTGCTTTTATTTTGTGATTATTTTTTAATTGAATTGCCATAGTGTATGAAATGTGCTATATAAATAAACTTGCCTTGCCTATAGATTTTTAATTAGAAGGAAAAAATGCAATTATATTATATTCTTAACACTTCACTCTAAGATCCATTAGTTAACTACCTTAGCAAACATGAACTAAGAACGAAGAATTACTTCTACAGCATTTATTAATCTTAATTTCAGCACTTACTAATACATTAGTCAAATCAAAGGTTGTAACATTAGTTAATGCACGGTGAGCTAACATGAACAAACAATGAACAGCTGGATTATTATTATTATTAACTAACATTAACAAAGATGAATAAATACAGTAACAAATGTATTTCTCATGGTTAGTTCATGTTCGTTAATACAGTAACTAATGAACCTTATTGTAAAGTTTTACCATTATATTTTTATAGTGCCCTGCCATATTCATGATTAATTGTTTGGGGGATACATTCGTTATCTTTTGCGGAATTGCTAATTTGCAAATGAATAAATAAATAAATAAACGTTGGGGTTTGGTTTGTTTGGTTTTATAAAAATGTATAAAGTAGTCTGTTATTGTTTATAGTATAACTATCTGCCTGTACACAACAGAAGTCTCTGCAATGTCCCATTTAGATGGCTGTGATCCCAGATCCCTCATAAATTTAAATAATGGTCATATTTAATATGCAGGCTAGATTAGTATTGACCATCATGTCAAGTAATAAACCATGTAAATCTGCTGATATACATAATTGTCTGCCATACATGTCTGAAAATACAGCGTTGTTGTTGTTGTTGACTAATCACATGTTTAAGATTATAGGTTATGAATTCATATTTAATCTATGAGACCCTGAAGTCGTCACTGGAAGCTCAGGGAACAGTTGACTTCCTGTTTAACAGGAAGTAAAGAGCTTTTCATGAGGCCTTGACTCGCAATATGTTTCCTTTTCCACGATGGAAAATAAAAGCTTTTACGTGTCATGAAGTGTGGATTAGTTTGCAGGAAGATCCTTCTGGAAGCAGAGCAAGAACTGCAGGAGCGTGGCTTCACATTAGCTGTAATGTAATAATAATACAAGTTGATTATATAATAAAGAAAGTCGGTCCACACACAGTCAGCCTTCCTGAGAGTTAGCTGGTGTTTTGGATTGGCTAGAAAGTTTAAATGTTTCATTGATTTTAATACATTTAATTGACTTTATTAGAATAGTGCGTGTCAGTGATGTTTCATTTTTACCTTTTTACATTACATTTAAGTTCCCTACTGCAATATCCAACTCAAAGTAGCTCTTATGATGGTTTTAGCTATTTTAACTGGTGGTTTATAGTCATTAGTTGGTCAATTTTCTATAGTTGTGTCACAATATATCGCAATACATAATGCAACAACATGTATTGTGGATAGTTCATCCAAAATTAACATTTCTGTGTGAGAAAAAATTCCAGTTTTCAGAGTACAACTACATTAAACTACTATATAATGTTGAATTTAATGTATAATAATGCAATGAGGGAATATTTGTGTGTCCTGATAATGCCAAATGTCTGATGTTATCAGTATAAAGTGACGACATTATATTAAATATATCTAGTCAGTGAAAGAGTGCAGCATATTCGTCTAAAATAATTCTGTATTTTCAGCTTCAGAATCATGAATATTGTTATTCTGGTGTCTCTATTGTCCTGTGCTTTGGGTTTCAGCACCAAGTCCAAGAATATTCATTTACACACACAATGATATACCAAATTTAGTATTTAATCAACAGTTCATTTTTTGTGAACCTTTTATCATATCTCTGAGTATCGCAATAATATCATATCGTGAGGGTATCGTTACACGCTTAATTTTCCACCACTATAGTCCATCATTACCTGAGTTTTCCAGCTGCTAGTTTGAATGTGTGTGTGTGTGTGACAGTGGAGTCTGGTGTGTGCCGATCACTGGAGGATCCCGCTCCAGCACGTCTGCTTCATGACCGGCTGGACCCTCGGCTACATCCTCCTCGGCACTGTCTGCGACTGGTGAGGCTTTCTACAACACTACACAACACTACACAACACTATACAACACTACACAACACTATACAACACTATACAACACTACACCAGCCCTATACAACACTACACAACACTACACCAGCCCTATACAACACTACACAACACTACACAACACTACACAACACTATACAACACTACACCAGCCCTATACAACACTACACCAGCCCTATACAACACTACACAACACTACACAACACTACACAACACTATACAACACTACACAACACTACACCAGCCCTATACAACACTACACCAGCCCTATACAACACTACACAACACTACACAACACTACACAACACTATACAACACTATACAACACTACACCAGCCCTATACAACACTACACAACACAACACTACACAACACTATACAACACTACACAACACTATACAACACTACACCAGCCCTATACAACACTACACAACACAACACTACACAACACTATACAACACTACACAACACTATACAACACAACACTATACAACACTACACAACACTACACCAGCCCTATACAACACTACACAACACTACACAACACTACACAACACTATACAACACTATACAACACTACACCAGCCCTATACAACACTACACAACACAACACTACACAACACTATACAACACTATACAACACTATACAACACTACACCAGCCCTATACAACACTACACAACACAACACTACACAACACTATACAACACTACACAACACTATACAACACTACACCAGCCCTATACAACACTACACAACACTACACAACACTACACAACACTACACAACACTATACAACACTACACAACACTACACAACACTACACAACACTATACAACACTATACCAGCCCTATACAACACTACACAACACAACACTACACAACACTATACAACACTACACAACACTATACAACACTACACAACACTACACAACACTACACAACACTACACCAGCCCTATACAACACTACACAACACTACACCAGCCCTATACAACACTACACCAGCCCTACACAACACTATACAACACTACACCAGCCCTATACAACACTACACCAGCCCTACACAACACTACACCAGCCCTATACAACACTACACAACACTATACAACACTACACAACACTACACAACACTACACAACACTACACCAGCCCTATACAACACTACACAACACTACACAACACTATACAACACTACACCAGCCCTATACAACACTACACCAGCCCTACACAACACTACACCAGCCCTATACAACACTACACAACACTATACAACACTACACAACACTACACAACACTACACCAGCCCTATACAACACTACACAACACTACACAACACTATACAACACTACACCAGCCCTATACAACACTACACAACACTACACAACACTACACAACACTACACAACACTATACAACACTACACAACACTACACAACACTACACAACACTACACCAGCCCTATACAACACTACACAACACTACACCAGCCCTATACAACACTACACCAGCCCTACACAACACTATACAACACTACACCAGCCCTATACAACACTACACCAGCCCTACACAACACTACACCAGCCCTATACAACACTACACAACACTATACAACACTACACAACACTACACCAGCCCTATACAACACTACACCAGCCCTACACAACACTACACCAGCCCTATACAACACTATACAACACTACACAACACTACACAACACTACACAACACTACACCAGCCCTATACAACACTACACAACACTACACCAGCCCTATACAACACTACACCAGCCCTACACAACACTATACAACACTACACCAGCCCTATACAACACTACACCAGCCCTACACAACACTATACAACACTACACCAGCCCTATACAACACTACACAACACTACACCAGCCCTATACAACACTACACCAGCCCTATACAACACTATACAACACTACACCACCCAATACAACACTATACAACACTATACCAGCCCTACACAACACTACACAACACTAGCCCTATACAACACTATACAACACTACACCACCCTATACAACACTACACAACACTACACCAGCCCTATACAACACTACACAACACTACACCAGCCCTATACAACACTACACCAGCCCTACACAACACTACACCAGCCCTATACAACACTACACAACACTACACCAGCCCTATACAACACTATACAACACTACACCAGCCCTATACAACACTACACAACACTAGCCCTATACAACACTATACAACACTACACCAGCCCTATACAACACTACACAACACTACACCAGCCCTATACAACACTACACCAAGCCTACACAACACTACACAACACTACACCAGCCCTATACAACACTACACAACACTACACAACACTAGCCCTATACAACACTATACAACACTACACCAGCCCTATACAACACTATACAACACTACACCACCCTATACAACACTACACAACACTACACCAGCCCTATACAACACTACACAACACTACACCAGCCCTATACAACACTACACCAGCCCTACACAACACTATACAACACTACACCAGCCCTATACAACACTACACAACACTACACCAGCCCTATACAACACTACACCAGCCCTATACAACACTACACAACACTAGCCCTATACAACACTATACAACACTACACCAGCCCTATACAACACTACACAACACTACACCAGCCCTATACAACACTACACCAGCCCTATACAACACTACACAACACTACACCAGCCCTATACAACACTACACCAGCCCTACACAACACTACACCAGCCCTATACAACACTATACAACACTACACCAGCCCTATACAACACTACACCAGCCCTATACAACACTATACAACACTACACCAGCCCTATACAACACTACACCAGCCCTATACAACACTACACCAGCCCTATACAACACTACACAACACTACACCAGCCCTATACAACACTACACCAGCCCTACACAACACTACACCAGCCCTATACAACACTATACAACACTACACCAGCCCTATACAACACTACACCAGCCCTATACAACACTACACCAGCCCTATACAACACTACACCAGCCCTATACAACACTACACAACACTAGCCCTATACAACACTACACAACACTACACCAGCCCTATACAACACTACACAACACTACACCAGCCCTACACAACACTACACCAGCCCTATACAACACTACACCAGCCCTATACAACACTACACCAGCCCTACACAACACTACACCAGCCCTATACAACACTACACCAGCCCTACACAACACTACACCAGCCCTATACAACACTACACCAGCCCTATACAACACTACACAACACTAGCCCTATACAACACTACACCAGCCCTATACAACACTACACCAGCCCTATATAACACTACACCAGCCCTATACAACACTACACCAGCCCTACACAACACTATACAACACCACATTAGCCCTATACAACACTACACCAGCCCTATACAACACTACACCAGCCCTACACAACACTACACCAGCCCTATACAACACTACACCAGCCCTATACAACACTACACCAGCCCTACACAACACTACACCAGCCCTATACAACACTACACCAGCCCTATACAACACTACACAACACTAGCCCTATACAACACTACACCAGCCCTATACAACACTATACAACACTACACCAGCCCTATACAACACTACACAACACTACACCAGCCCTACACAACACTACACCAGCCCTATACAACACTACACAACACTACACCAGCCCTATACAACACTACACCAGCCCTACACAACACTACACAACACTACACCAGCCCTATACAACACTACACCATCCCTATACAACACTACACCAGCCCTACACAACACTACACCAGCCCTATACAACACTACACAACACTACACCAGCCCTATACAACACTACACCAGGCCTATACAACACTACACCAGCCCTACACAACACTACACCAGCCCTATACAACACTACACCAGCCCTATACAACACTACACCAGCCCTACACAACACTACACCAGCCCTATACAACACTACACAACACTACACCAGCCCTATACAACACTACACCAGCCCTACACAACACTACACCAGCCCTACACAACACTACACCAGCCCTACACAACACTACACAACACTACACCAGCCCTATACAACACTACACCATCCCTATACAACACTACACCAGCCCTACACAACACTACACCAGCCCTATACAACACTACACAACACTACACCAGCCCTATACAACACTACACCAGCCCTACACAACACTACACCAGCCCTACACAACACTACACCAGCCCTATACAACACTACACCAGCCCTATACAACACTACACCAGCCCTATACAACACTACACCAGCCCTATACAACACTACACAACACTACACCAGCCCTATACAACACTACACCAGCCCTACACAACACTACACCAGCCCTACACAACACTACACCAGCCCTATACAACACTACACCAGCCCTATACAACACTACACCAGCCCTACACAACACTACACCAGCCCTATACAACACTACACAACACTACACCAGCCCTATACAACACTACACCAGCCCTATACAACACTACACAACACTACACCTCTTTCAAGACCAGTTGTGTTCTAGATGTGATCAAAGTAAACGATGAAGCTTTATTGCAATAGATGCAAAACCTCAAACCAAGTAGCTTGTGCAAATAAATGATGCTTTTACCACTAAATGTGATCAAAGTATTTTAGTGCAACGATTAATCGCATCCAAAAATAAAAGTTTGTGTTTACATAATATATATGTGTGTGAACTGTGTATAATTATTTGTATATATAAATACACACACATGCATGTATATATTTAAGAAAACTTGTTAATTATATATTAAATATTTATATTTTATATATAGTATACAGGTGAAACTCAAACAATTTGAATATCGAGCAAAAGTTCATTTATTTCAGTAATTCAACTTAAAAGGTGCAACTAATATATTATATAGACTCATTACATGCAAAGTGAGATATTTCAAGCCTTGATTTGTTATAATTGTGATGATTATGGCTTACAGCTTATGAAAACCCCAAATTCAAAATTAGAATATTGAGAAAAGGTTTTCATAGCTGTAAGCCATAATCATCACAATTATAACGTGCGGTCACTTGAATAAATGTATGTTTTTATGATAAATTTACACTTAAACACATGCAATTAAGTGGACTTGAATAAATGTGTGTTTGTGTGTGTCTGTCTGTGTGTGTCAGGTTGGGTCGTCACTTGAATAAATGTATGTTTTTATGATAAATTTACACTTAAACACATGCAATTAAGTGGACTTGAATAAATGTGTGTGTGTGTGTGTGTGTGTGTGTGTGTGTCTGTGTGTGTCAGGTTGGGTCGTCACTTGAATAAATGTATGTTTTTATGATAAATTTACACTTAAACACATGCAATTAAGTGGACTTGAATAAATGTGTGTGTGTGTGTGTGTGTGTGTGTGTGTGTGTGTGTGTGTGTGTGTGTGTGTGTGTGTGTGTGTGTGTGTTTGTGTGTGTGTGTCTGTGTGTGTCAGGTTGGGTCGTCACTTGAATAAATGTATGGTTTTATGATAAATTTACACTTAAACACATGCAATTAAGTGGACTTGAATAAAAGTGTGTGTGTGTGTGTGTGTGTGTCTCAGGTTGGGCCGTCGCTGTGCGCTGCTGCTGTCAGTGGTTTTCTCGGGACTGCTGGGAATCATGGCTTGTCTCTCTAACAGTCCTTCTGCTTTCCCGTTCCTCCGGCTCCTCCAGGGCTCAGCGTTAGCCGGAGTGTTTCTGTCATCTTACATCGCACGCAAGTACACTTTATCATCATCACTTTATCATCACATGACCTCTCCCAATCTGCGGCTGATAAGCTCTGAGACTCACGGCTGTACACAAGTGCTTCTGTACAGTGCTTGTTCACTCCAGGTCAATATTTGCATAAGCTATTTTAATTTGGCTTTGCAAAAATGTAATTGTAAGTGTCCGTCTCTTCCTACACTCATCTACACAACAGGAAGTCCGATTGTCCCTTTGATCGTTCCTAAAGTCTTAGATCACGTGTCACGATAGATTAATGAAACTACTCTAAATTGTCCATCTGGCTTTAATTTCCATAAAATACAAGTACAAATATTTCAAGGAATTGGTATTACATATTACACACACTATCAACCAAAGTCTGGATATTTTTGAATAAATTTATGGTTTTTTTTTAATAGGGCTCTCGAAATTAACAGGTTTGCACATGCAATTAATTTTTTCAGTTTCTGTGTATTTCCTGTTAGACTAATTGGATTTATGTAAAGATTGTTTTAAGTTCACTTAAATTAAAACTTGTTATATTTTTAAAGGTCAAAATTGATAGCTTTTAATTATACTGTAATGCAGAATGGCTATAATTAATAAATAAATAATGGCTAAAAATGCTTCATAGTATTGCAGTATTGGTATTTTCATAAAAAGATTGTACATTAAACAAATATTTAAAATGTGTTTTTTCTACATTCATTTGGAGATTAAATTTGAAATTGTTACAATATAGAAATATATAAAAAAAACTGTAATGTTTGGTGTGATTAATTGGTTCATGTTTTTTATCTACTGACAACATTAGTTTCAATCTTAAACCTTTTGAAATGAAAATAGGCAAATATAAATATGAGTTTTAGAATCATATTTCAATCAAAGTGTAATTTTAGCTTTTATCATAGTTTTATAAATATTTTGAATTCTAGTTCATTTTTATTTATTAGTTTAATTTTTAGTCATTTTATTTTGTGCTTTTGTCATTTTTATTAGGTTTAGCTTATTTTTATTTCAATTTTTATTTCAATTTTAGCTGGTTTTAATTTGTATTTATTTCCAGTAAATCATGTTTGTGCTTCATCTTAAATGTTTCAAATTTTCAGTTTAGTTTAATTCCAACTAAATTTTATATTTTATTTTATTTCAGCTTTTTTTCTTCTTCATTTAACAGATATTTTTAATTGGTTTAGTTTTAGTTAACGATAATATTCCTGATACTCACAGTACACACGAAAATAATGAAAATGTACATTACACATGAAAATACACACGAAATAAAAGCAGCAAGCTGTGTCCGGCACACATGACACTCTTTCAACACTGATCATCTAAAATATGGACGATAGTAATAATAAAGAACGAGTAGATATGCCTAAATAAATAAAAGATAATAAGAATGAGTCATTATGTTTAGACTCTTGTGTGTGTGTCTGTGTGCGTGCGTGCGTGCGTGCGTGTGTGTGTGTGTGTGTGTGTGTGTGTGTGTGTGTCTGCGTGTGTGTGTGTGTGTGTGTCTGCGTGTGTGTGTGTGTGTGTGTGTAAGCAGATGTTCTTGATCAATAGGAGACTCTTGATAAAGAGTGTTGTTCTTTGACTGGGAACAGCATTCCTCTTCTATCTCACGAACACACTGTTCACACTGATCATCAGTGTGTGTTTAATCGGCTGAGGAAAGTTCAGTGTGTGTGTGTGTGTGTGTGTGTGTGTGTGAAGATCTGATCTCTGTTCTTTCCATGGTAAAGAGTCCGTGTTCTTCTCCTGCACTTCCTGTGATTGTTATGTGAGAGTGTGTGTCAGCCAGAACATGAGCTCTCATGGAACAGTGTGTGTGTAAACACCGGCACGTACACACACTCTTCTGTACGACACCAGTCAGATGCACAGACACACTGGTGATTACTGGTGTCCACATCTTACAATAACAGACAGAGTTTCCACCAATGCTCGACTCGTGTTGCACGTTTATTTAGTTTAATAAAGAAATATGTAAGAAGTATTTTCAGCTTGATAAGACTTCGTTTATTTGATCAGAAATACAGTAAAAATTGTGATTTGATATTTTTTTTTTTTACAATTTAAAATAACTTATATGTGAATATACAGTAAAGTGTAATTTATTCCTGTGATCAAAGCTGATGTTCAGCATCATTACTCCAGTCTTCAGTGTCACATGATCCTCCAGAAATCACTCTAATATGAGGATCTGATGATCAAGAAACATTTCTGATTATTTTGTTTTTACTGCTTAATTTATTGTGGAAATTGTGATACGCTATCATTCAAAAGTTTGGGATGAGTATGATTTTAAATAAATAAATATATATATTCAGCAAGGATGCATTAAATTGATCAAAAGTGACAGTATAGACATTTTATATTAATATCTATATTATTAAAGATTTCTATTTCAAATAAATGCTTTCTATTCATCGTATAAACATGAAATCAACATTGATAATATTAAAGAACTATTATTAATTATTGAAAGCCAATAACAATTGATATTAATTGAGCATCAAGTGATCCTATTAGAATGATTTGTGAAGGATCATGTGACACTGAAGACTGGAGTAATGATGCTGAACATTCAGCTTTGAGACTCCGCCCACACGCTCTTCTGATTGGCTGTTATGTTTGACTGATTTAATTGTGAGTGCAGTGCGCTTGCAGAGAGACTCTGCCCACACGCTCTTCTGATTGGCTGTTATGTTTGACTGATTTAATTGTGAGTGCAGTGTACTTGCAGAGAGACTCCGCCCACACGCTCTTCTGATTGGCTGTTATGTTTGACTGATTTAATTGTGAGTGCAGTGTACTTGCAGAGAGACTCCGCCCACACGCTCTTCTGATTGGCTGTTATGCTTGACTGATTTAATTGTGAGAGCAGTGCGCTTGCAGAGAGACTCCGCCCACACGCTCTTCTGATTGGCTGTTATGCTTGACTGATTTAATTGTGAGTGCAGTGCGCTTGCAGAGAGACTCCGCCCACACGCTCTTCTGATTGGCTGTTATGTTTGACTGATTTAATTGTGAGTGCAGTGCGCTTGCAGAGAGACTCCGCCCACACGCTCTTCTGATTTGCTGTTATGTTTGACTGATTTAATTGTGAGAGCAGTGCGCTTGCAGAGAGACTCCGCCCACACGCTCTTCTGATTGGCTGTTATGCTTGACTGATTTAATTGTGAGTGCAGTGCGCTTGCAGAGAGACTCCGCCCACACGCTCTTCTGATTGGCTGTTATGTTTGACTGATTTAATTGTGAGAGCAGTGCGCTTGCAGAGAGACTCCGCCCACACACTCTTCTGATTGGATGTTATGTTTGACTGATTTAATTGTGAGAGCAGTGCGCTTGCAGAGAGACTCCGCCCACACACTCTTCTGATTTGCTGTTATGTTTGACTGATTTAATTGTGAGAGCAGTGCGCTTGCAGAGAGACTCCGCCCACACGCTCTTCTGATTGGCTGTTATGTTTGACTGATTTAATTGTGAGAGCAGTGCGCTTGCAGAGAGACTCCGCCCACACACTCTTCTGATTTGCTGTTATGTTTGACTGATTTAATTGTGAGAGCAGTGCGCTTGCAGAGAGACTCCGCCCACACACTCTTCTGATTGGCTGTTATGTTTGACTGATTTAATTGTGAGAGCAGTGCGCTTGCAGAGAGACTCCGCCCACACGCTCTTCTGATTGGCTGTTATGTTTGACTGATTTAATTGTGAGAGCAGTGCGCTTGCAGAGAGACTCCGCCCACACACTCTTCTGATTTGCTGTTATGTTTGACTGATTTAATTGTGAGAGCAGTGCGCTTGCAGAGAGACTCCGCCCACACACTCTTCTGATTGGCTGTGATTCGTGATTGATTTGTTTGCTGTCTGTGGACACACTGTCACTACTGTCTCTCTCTGGTGTAATCCTGCAGGACTGGAATGGTGTGACCCGCCTCACAGACTCATGGTGTCGATGGTCAGCGGCTTCTTTGCGGTGTTTGCCGAGCTGCTGTTGCCGGGGCTCGCAGTGCTGTGCCGTGATTGGCCCGTTCTTCAGGCCGTCACCACACTTCCCCTGCTGTTACTGCTCTCCTATTGGTGGTGAGCCGTGTGTGTGTGTGTGTGTGTGTCATGCATCGTTTTCTTTAAAGAAGCAGTACATTCTGACTACTTAATGTTTTAAACATATAGCAACAAAAGGTCATTTTGACAGATTGGTATAATATGTCATATTCCAGTCATATTAATTCCCCAAATAACAGACCAGATTCAGATCATCAGTTCATCAGGTGAAGAGCCCCATGAACTCAGCAGAGTTAATAATCATAATATTGATTTCTCTATTTTAATTGAATCACATGTTGATGAACTGATGTGGATTCTCAAATCCCAAGAATGCAAAGTTGATGCATGTTTACACCACAACGCTGTCCCAAATTTGCACTATGAAACTAGTTTTCTAAAGTTTGCGTTGAGTAAGCACCACTAATAATGTGATTGTGTGTGTGTGTGTGTGTGTGTGTGTGTGTGTGTGTGTGTGTGTGTGTGTGTGTGTGTGTGTGTGTGTGTGTGTGTGTGTGTGTGTGTGTGTGTGTGTGTGTGTGTGTGTGTGTGTGTGTGTGTGTGTGTGTGTGTGTGTGTGTGTGTGTGTGTGTGTGTGTGTGTGTGTGTGTGTGTGTGTGTGTGTGTGTTGCGCACACAAGCTGTGCTTCAGTGTTCCCAGAATCCCCTCGTTGGCTCTTGGCCACATCTCAGGTTCCTCAAGCAAAGAAGTGTCTCCAGTCGTTTTCAGCACGAAACGGTGTGTGTGTCAGTGACGAGCTGTTCCCTGCTGAAACACTGCTGTCAGGTGAGCGTCTGCGCCTCACACACTCTCGTCTCCAGGGATGCACTGAAGTGAGAATATTTGAAAATAATAAAACACTTGGTTGAATACCAAATATCGCTTTTTTTCCGATTTGTTTGAACAATTTTACACCATTGCATAAATTAAATTAGTCAAAATGTGCTTTTTATTATTTTGTCTTGCTTTTCAAAGAAATAATCAGTTACAAAAACTACAATTTAAAATTTTATTTAACATTGAACATATAAAATGATTTTTTTTTTTACATTCCAGCAGACATTATACAATATAACTGAAAATAAAGAAATTGTTAAACTAAAAATATTTTTATTTGGCCATCTTTGAGCCATTTGATCGCGTCATCAGAAAACGCCATTGTTCGGTCTTTCCACTTATTCGGACGAACACTGTAAGTGTTTTTGTGTCGCTGTTTTCGGCTGAACAATTTGAGTTTCCGAACACTCGCTGCGTGTCTAATAGTCTCATGTTGTGTGTTTCAAACATGGCTCATGGTCTTGTGTATCTGTGTATGTGGAGCTTGAGACCCGGTACACGTGTGTGTGTGTGTGTGTGTGTGTGTGTGTGTGTGTGTGTGTGTGTGTGTGTGTGTGTGTGTGTGTGTGTGTACAACCTTTGACTTGGTGCTGAAACCCAAAGCACAGGACAATAGAGACACCAGAATAACAATATTCATGATTCTGAAGCTGAAAATACAGAATTATTTTAGACGAATATGCTTGCACTCTTTCCCTGACTAGATATATTTAATATAATGTCGGCCACTTTGTACTGATAACATCAGACATGTGGCATTATCAGGACCCACAAATATTCCCTCATTGCATTATTATACATTATATTCAACATTATATAGTAGTTTAATGTAGTTCTGACACTAAAACTCTGAAAACTGTATTGTGACACGATATATTGTGACGCCTCTGGTTGCTGAGTGTGTGTGTGTGTGTGTTTGAGAGCGTCCCCGTGATGATCAGAGGTGGGTAATGGCTCCGCTAATGAAGCGCTCTTGAGTCGATCCGCTGTTCTGGTGTGATGATACTCTCAGGATATAATGAAGGAGAGCATCTCGCTCTACCCCAGCTCACTGACTAATACCCCAGCTCACTGACTAATACCCCAGCTCACTGACTAATACCCCAGCTCACTGACTAATACCCCAGCTCACTGACTAATACCCCAGCTCACTGACTAATACCCCAGCTCACAGACTAATACCCCAGCTCACTGACTAATACCCCAGCTCACTGACTAATACCCCAGCTCACTGACTAATACCCCAGCTCACAGACTAATACCCCAGCTCACTGACTAATACCCCAGCTCACTGACTAATACCCCAGCTCACTGACTAATACCCCAGCTCACAGACTAATACCCCAGCTCACAGACTAATACCCCAGCTCACAGACTAATACCCCA